GAATTTTTATAAATATATACATATATAATATATTATATAAATATATACATATATAATAAATTATATAAATATATACATATATAATAAATTATATAAATATATACATATATAATAAATTATATAAATATATGTATACATATATAAATCATATAATAATAAATTATACATATATATTGTTTTATACGAAATTATATGTTGTTTTTAATTATTATATTATATTGTAAATCATGTCATAAATTATATATATAATTTATATCATTCTTTTTTTAATTTTAAATTCCAAGAAGTACAGAAAATTATGCGGATTTAAAAAATTTATATATATATACACAGATTATTTATAAATTGGAATTTGGAATTTGTCAGTGCATGTCGCAATCATGGTACCTGGCGACCGACATGCAGCTGGTCTGGCTGTCGCCGATTTTCCTGTACCCGATGCTGAAGTTCACGAGACAGATCTTCTTCTGGATCGTGATCGGCCTCGGCCTCGTCGCATCGGTCGTCATACCATTCGTCATCACGTTCGCCCTCAAACTATCGGGCACCATGCTCTACTACAAGGAGTGAGTACCGAGATTCGTCAAACATCGATTCTGAAATCTTCTCTTTTCATCTAGCACAGTCTGATTAATTTCGGTCTGTATCACTTGCTTCTTCGATCCGCCCCGTATTAGCCTGAAAATTACTTATTGCTCCTGTTAAATTTGCAACTAGCGTTCAAGCGTGTTACATTAAAGTGTTGTGGATTGTCGACTTTATCTTCGTCCATTTTGAAATTTTACAAAATACATTTCACTTTTCTCCGGCTAAATAAAGTGTTCGGTCACAAAATATATGCATTTTATGTTGCAATTTAACGGATAAGACTATGTAAATACTGTTGCATCGTTTAAATGTTGCACATACGATTTCCTTTTTGTCGTTAGAGCCAACGACGTGGCGGAGGTTTACGTGCAGATCTACACGAAAGTGTACAACAGATTCGGCGCATACGTGATCGGCCTGGCTCTCGGTTACATACTTTACAACACCAGGTCGCGGGTCATCAAAATACGACCGGTAAGTGCGCCCGATTCAACGAACTTATACGACCCTTCCACGGACGATAACATCGGACGTGGATTATCTAATTGAACGGACGAAGCGCTTCTTATATGTTCATTCTTTCATAATTTTTCATTGTCCTACGAGGGAGTATTTCCGGCCTCGATTGGGCGAGTCACCTTAAAGAACCGTGAACCTATTTGGGTTAGGGTTGCGAGCCCTGCTTCGGGCCTCACAGAAGGTTAACACTCGTTTTCTGCATTTAGAGATGAGAAACAAGAAGAGACAATATTCCCTCCCTACCGAAGCGAAACGAAAATCATCGCGTACGCTTGATCCGAGAGGTCAAAGAGGTCGTGCGTCACGTGTTCGTACAACCAGCATCATCTTTCACAACCGGCGAAAGCGTCCTTTTTCACGATCCAACTGTTCTTCACCTTGTCCCGGTGGTTTTCTGCAGATGTACGTGCTCGCTGGATGGCTGGTCGCTGCTCTGACCGCGTTGTTCGTCTTCGTTGGTCCACGATGGATGTACTTCGAGGATCACGTCTACGACAGGCTAGAGGCCAGCCTCTACGCCGGACTGCACAGGCAGGTTTTCGCGCTGTCGATCTCCTGGATCATCTTTTGCTGCGTTCACGGATACGCTGGTACGGTTATCATACTTTCGATTTGATCTGCGCGGAATCTTTCGACCATCGATCGTTGATCACTGATTTGAGTATTATTAGTAATTTGAGTATTAGGTTGGTGCAAATTGGTGTAATTTTATTAGTATTATTAGTAACTTGAGTATTAGGTCTGTCTCTTATACACATCTAGATGTGTATAAGAGACAGTTATTAGTAATTTGAGTATTAGGTTGGTGCAAAATGGTGTAATTTTATTAGTATTATTAGTAACTTGAGTATTAGGTCTGTCTCTTATACACATCTAGATGTGTATAAGAGACAGTTATTAGTAATTTGAGTATTAGGTTGGTGCAAAATGGTGTAATTTTATTAGTATTATTAGTAACTTGAGTATTAGGTCTGTCTCTTATACACATCTAGATGTGTATAAGAGACAGTTATTAGTAATTTGAGTATTAGGTTGGTGCAAAATGGTGTAATTTTATTAGTATTATTAGTAACTTGAGTATTAGGTCTGTCTCTTATACACATCTAGATGTGTATAAGAGACAGTTATTAGTAATTTGAGTATTAGGTTGGTGCAAAATGGTGTAATTTTATTAGTATTATTAGTAACTTGAGTATTAGGTCTGTCTCTTATACACATCTAGATGTGTATAAGAGACAGTTATTAGTAATTTGAGTATTAGGTTGGTGCAAAATGGTGTAATTTTATTAGTATTATTAGTAACTTGAGTATTAGGTCTGTCTCTTATACACATCTAGATGTGTATAAGAGACAGTTATTAGTAATTTGAGTATTAGGTTGGTGCAAAATGGTGTAATTTTATTAGTATTATTAGTAACTTGAGTATTAGGTCTGTCTCTTATACACATCTAGATGTGTATAAGAGACAGTTATTAGTAATTTGAGTATTAGGTTGGTGCAAAATGGTGTAATTTTATTAGTATTATTAGTAACTTGAGTATTAGGTCTGTCTCTTATACACATCTAGATGTGTATAAGAGACAGTTATTAGTAATTTGAGTATTAGGTTGGTGCAAAATGGTGTAATTTTATTAGTATTATTAGTAACTTGAGTATTAGGTCTGTCTCTTATACACATCTAGATGTGTATAAGAGACAGTTATTAGTAATTTGAGTATTAGGTTGGTGCAAAATGGTGTAATTTTATTAGTATTATTAGTAACTTGAGTATTAGGTCTGTCTCTTATACACATCTAGATGTGTATAAGAGACAGTTATTAGTAATTTGAGTATTAGGTTGGTGCAAAATGGTGTAATTTTATTAGTATTATTAGTAACTTGAGTATTAGGTCTGTCTCTTATACACATCTAGATGTGTATAAGAGACAGTTATTAGTAATTTGAGTATTAGGTTGGTGCAAATTGGTGTAATTTTATTAGTATTATTAGTAACTTGAGTATTAGGTTGGTGCATACGAAATGTCGGATTTTCTTTACATGTAAACGTTTGTCTCCCTGTTTTCGTTATGCTTTTACTTTCGGCATAATCTCGCGTTAATAGTCGTACATTGCCAGAGTCACATTTCGAGAAAGAAGATTTTCTCAAAAGTGTTCCATTTTATTATTTGTTTCGAATTTAAGTAAGGATATGAATTCAACCGATATTCGTGTAATCTTTTTATACGAGTACAACGCTGGTAATAACGCTGCAAAAGCTGCGCGCAATATAAACCAGGCGTTTGGGTAGAATACTGTTAACGATCGAAAAGTGCAGCGTTGGTTTGAAAATTTTCGCTCCGGTGATTTTTCCCTACAAAACGAACCGCGTGGAAGAACCAAAACGTCTGTGAAAAATGATGCTCTGAAAGCATTGATAAAAACGAATCCAACTGTATCTGCAAGGGAACTTGCTACCAGAATGAACGTTCACCAACAATATTGCGACACCTCTCTGAAATGAAAAATTGAAAATTATACGCCCGTCACTTGTTAATCGGCATGGCCCAATGCTTCTCCACGACAAGGCTCGCACAAAACAATTGCGAAATTGAATGAATTAAAATATGAAAGTTTATTCGCCGGATCTTTCGCCAACCGACTTTCATTTTTCTTTCTTTGAACATTTAGAACAGTTTTTACGGGCTAAACAGTATGAAAATGAAGACAGTCTGAAAAATTCCATATCAGAGTTCATCGATCCTAAAGTTCAGAATTTCTTTAAGACAAGAAAACTGTATTGAAGCAAATGGAGAATACTTTTAATTAAATAAACAGCTTTTGAAAAAAGATACGCAGTTTCATACATTCACTTAAAAATCCGACATTTCATACGCACCAACCTAACAATTGCCCTCTAACCGTTTGTATTCGATCTTCTCGTATACCGAAGTTGGCATGTCTTTCTTCAAGGTTTCGTTGACCACTGTCTCTCTTGGAGAGGCTGGGTTCCTCTCAGCAAATTGACCTACAGCGCCTATTTGTGCCACTACGTCTTCTTGCTGCTGGAGGGTGGCGCCGAAAGAACCACCGGCATAGTCAGCCCCATACAACTTGTGAGTACCATAAAACTCTGTTGATCTACCATAACTCACGGAAGACATATACCTCAAACATGTGCCGAAAAATCCCCGCTAAAATCATGTTCCGTCGTCGAATCCCCAGTTCCGGAGCTTCTCCAGCAACCTGTGCCTCACGATGCTGCTCTCGGCGGTGTGGAGCCTGTGCTTCGAGATGCCGTTCATGATCTTGGACCGCACCCTTCTCTCGTACTGGATCAGCCAGGCGAAGCTGACCTCGAAACAGAACCAGCAAAAGATGTTCGGCTCGACGGACTCCAGCAAGGAGATCTACCGATCGACGAACGATTCCTCGTCGTCGATTCAGAGCGAGAATTACGGCCAAAAGTCGACCGAGGATAACGTCTATTGCTCGTCAGGGGACGTCAGCTTCGAGCAGGGGATGTACGACTCGGGATCGTCGCAGGACCTTCAGAAAGGGAACAGGTGTCCCTTCATTTTCGTGATAGGAGGTGGTTCCGAGGGGAACAATTCCTGGCCGGAGTCGAGGAACGTGCATCAGAACAACGGGTTCGACGAGGACTCGGACGACGCGTCGCATTCGAAGTTGGACGTCCGGTTGGACTGCAATTACGAGACCATCGTGAACGAGGCTAGGCTGGAGAACGCCAAGGAGTCCAAGAAGGTGGACTGTTGATCGGGAGGATTGTCTGTTGTGTTTGTAGCTTGCTGGTCGAGCGTTTATTTATATGTAGCCGTCGTAGGCGGCAGCCATAGTGATTTAGGGAACGGAGACGAGAACTCGAAGAGGACACCGATTTGCTGGCACGATCCTCTGAATATGAGATCTTCGAGGCTAATCGATGACTCTGTTATGTAGCTGGCTCTGGTCCCTGAGGTCTGGGTCAAAGGTCTTTGGAGTCTCAGTACGAGAGCGCACGATTTCGCGGGTCTCTGTGCGAACTAGGCGTAGAATTAATGTGTTTGTTAATAGATTTGCTGTCTTTTCTTTTTCGGAGTTTACTAATTCTTGCGTACGCACAGGGATTCACAGCTCGATCGTCGATGTTAGGATTGGAAGAGAAAATTTGTGCTGTCAGAAATCGATCTTCCGATCGTATTAATTGTTAGCTCGGCGAATTTTTCGCGCAATGACGGTCACGATAAATGTTTAGCCTACCTCGGGGTGACTAATTCGAAGTGCCTGATTTCGGGAGGACAGCTATTGCGACCATCAATATATTTCAGGACTTTGCTTTCGGAAAGCAAATTGTAATATTATTGTAAATAGTGAGGAAATAGGAGTAATAATAATATTAATAATAATAATAATAATAATATTAATAATAATGATAACAGAGATAGGAGTAATTAGGCTGTCTTTCATTGTTGATACAGTTTGGAGGGTTTAAAGAAATTTAAGAAACGTAAAATATTTTTGAACAGCTCTGTTGTTACGAATATGGAGTAAATTGAATATTTGTTAGAGCGACAAGTGATTCTTGCCATAAGGGTAATATGCGAGCGAAAGATAACGTGAAATCTATCAACTTAGGGATCAGAAAAATATTTTGAAGGTACACGAATGTCCCTGAGACACTTTTATGTCTATAACATGTGAAAAAAGTTTATTTATTATCGTACATAAAGAGAACAGATGATTCTTGCCGCATTCGCTGTAGAAAACAATGTAAATCCGGCAAGAATCATCTGCAGAATCTATTGAAAAGTGGCGCCTCTTATGGCGAAATGCAGAAGCTCCGTTCGGGGTCCGTACAGCGCCAATTAGTAGGATGGCAAAACGCTGAAACTGCTAACCAAACAGTGGCGCCAATTGTGGTGAAATCTGGAAGCTCCGATTTGGCTAGCAGTTTCAGCGTTTTGCCACGTACTAATTGGCGCTGTACGGATCTCGACCGGAGCTTCCAAATTTCGCCGCAAGAGGCACCACCATCGTTCAAGCAACAATTGATTCGTGCCGGATTTTATACTGACTCTTATGGGGAATGCGGCACGGATCATTTGTTCCTACATTTCATATTGGAACATGAAATAGAAAATTGTTTATTATTGAATTAATTCCAATGTAATTATGCGAAAAATTCGTATACGTTACTAGCGATCTCTTTTATGTTTTCCAATGAAAAGCGGTTGGAAATCATGTGGAAAAATCGAATGAATTCAGTCGGCGACGCGTTTACGAAACACGTGCTACAGTATTATGTGTACATACTCAAATTTTGTAATTGTATGGCGCAGGGTCTGGGAACGCTGATCATTTTGCTACAATTCGTTTCGTAATCGCTGGTTAGATATCAATATTTTTAACCCTTGAGTAGGATGATTAATAAAATTTGATATTTTGTGCGTAACCCGAACGAAAATGAATGATCGTAAACGATTATGCGAGACACTGTATGAATTGTTGCGCTGTTATAAATAAACATGTTTCTACTGTCATGTTGTTTGTAAAGTGTGAAAGGTTTACTAAAAAGTTTACTAACTTTACAATAACATAAAATACATCATAAGGGCTATGGACGACCAAATCTGTCCCTCGTTTCGGTTTTATAAAACAGACTAAAAAATATCGTATATCAGGATTTTAGGGGAAACTTCACGTATTAAAGGGGAAACTTCAATCTCTATATCCATCGCAGATTTAGTCACAGCAATAATTTTCCAATGTTTTTAAAGACGTTCTATTTTACAGTATTTACCGGAAAGAACATATGTCTTCAGTTTACCATTTATTATTACTATAGAAAAACATGTTACAAGAAAATGAACGATAACGTGCGAAAGTAGATGCTTCTAGCTTTAAAATGAGACCAGACTGATCGTTGTACGATTCTTTCGTGCGAACTATCGGCGGGTCAGATATCGTCAACTTTTCGTAAAGCAGAAACTATTTTTTGGAAACAGCGAACTTACCGTTAAAAATAGTTGTACGTGTCTAGTTGCACGTTAAGACCAAATTTTGTCTTGGTGTACCTTTTTCGCTACGGAAGGGTATGAGGAGGGGGTGAAGAAATTCCTTTTTGGTGTAAGAGTGTTAAGGGAGGCGCGACTGCGCGTGTAATTCTTCGACCGGAACCACCATGGGCCATGTGGCGGCGTAGACTCCGCTCGTAACCATAAAGCTCGGATACACTGCCAACAAATACAAGTTAGCTTTCCGCCTCTCTTTGCTCGAGTAATCATTTACCATCGGGACGGACAGGAATAACACGCGAACCCCGTCTTCTCGCTGCCTGTGGAAATCAATTATTTCCGTGTCTCGAGCGAAATGAAAAGTTTCATCGGAAAGTAATTAAAACGAGCCAGATTCAACGATCTAACAATCGTTTCTAGCGAATCGTCCAGAACGCAGAAATGAAACAGAGATGCAAGTATGAAGGGAACTTTTATAATACAAATAGATACAAGTCCTTTATTTTGATAATTACACTATGTCTTCGGCTATCGTCTTTGTTTCAGCATGTCGAGCAAGCGAAATCTCAGAAGCGTGAATCGTCGGAGTATTGTCTAGGTTTGTTGAAGATGCTGTGCAATTGGCGGCCGAGTCTTGGCGACGGTGTCCACGGCAATCGGCGACCTAAACGAGGCGCGAAAAACGGCGGAACGTATTGCTCCTCGGTGTAGAATTCGTCCTGATCTTTCGGGAAACCGTACAACAGCTCCTCGCCCGAGTCTCGTCCTAGCCGAGGTGTAAATTGAGTTGGCTGCCGCTTTTCTCCGCCTGCAAAACAGCCACAACAGGCCAAATCGATTTAGTTTGATTTAACTAGATAACTGTGTTTGGCAAGTATACTCGTCACGAAGAAGTGGGAGTATTTTGTGTCATGACGAGTATACTCGTCGCGCGTAAAAAGCAGTGACCATTGGCTATTTTGATTGTAATTTTAGCATTCGGGGTTTAGGGTTCGAGAGAGCAATTCGCTCGCATCGATATTTCGATATCCTTTAACGCTAGATTTACGGAGCACGAAAAACAGCTGATTCATATTAGTTTATAAAAGTAACAATAAGACATTTATTTTGATTTTCAACAAGTGTTATTGTAACATTTGCCGTAAGTAACATGTAAATTGAATAAATAACTCGTAAATGTATCTTTACGATAGGAATAATCGTAAATTAAAACATTAGTGACTCGTCATTTTGACGGGTTTCTTAAATCTAGTGTTAACCAGTTGACGAGTATACTCGTCATGGAGAAGTGGCAGTATTTTGTGTCATGACGAGTATACTCGTCGCGCGTAAAAAGCAGGGACCATTGGCTATTTAGATCGTAATTTTAGTGAAAACGAAAACATATTCTCAAATTTCAAGATGTTTAGAATATTTTGAGGCCAATTCTACACGAAGGTGTTTACACTGTTATAAAAATAAGATTAAAAAAGAATCGCGATATCGGTTGCTTTGCCGAATACCACTTTACAGCAGCAATTTGAATTTTTAACTTTTATAAGTGTTTGATTTTTCCTGCATTTTTCGCTTATTATGTATGCAGTATACGTTAATGTCAAGCGAATAAGTAAATATTGGTAATAAAATTGTAAATTTTATAAGATATAACCGTCTCTTTGATCCAATATTTTAACAGGCGCACTTACTCTGTGTTCGACGAGTATACTCGTCATCGCTTGATTCTCGCGACACAGATAGGCGCGCGCTCTGAAAAGGAGGCGCCACAGCTAATTGGTTAAGCGATTACAGATCGTTCTTGTAAACTTGCATTTGCGAAACTTTCGTGAAGCTTTTCTAGCTCTCGATCAAAATGCACCGAAATTCTGTCATTCGAGAATTAGTGAGAGTCCAAAATTTGGTTCTTTCGGCGGAGAAACGAGTCTTGAAATCATGCGCGCCGGTCTTTTCTTTGTTTCTGGATATTATTCGAATTATTGTAGATACGCTTTATCTTTCCGTCGAATAGCATAATATTTCAATCGAATACTGGAAACACGAGATGCACTGGTCTTTTCTAGCTCTCGATCAAAATGCACCGAAATTCTGTCATTCGAGAATTAGTGAGAGTCCAAAATTTGGTTCTTTCGGCGGAGAAACGAGTCTTGAAATCATGCGCGCAGGTCTTTTCTTTGTTTCTGGTTATTTTTCGAATTATTATATTATTTTCGGGTAAAATGATTACGGAACAATTACCTGGAATCGTGATGACGGCCCAGCGGCCACCATCGAGTATGGTCGCCAGGGTTTCGAGGTCCGGGTCGACTTCCGTTTTCCGCTCCGATCTGCGTCGTCTGCCTAATCGCGGCCCGAACCACATGCCGCTGGTGATGTCTTGCGTGGTACGTTTGATGCACTTCCCGTCGTTGCAAGGGCCGAGGTCGTTTCCCGACATCCTATCGTTTGCTGCGCTGCTCGGCGATTCTCTTCCCACTAACGAAATACATTCCTACTTTAACCAGCGCTATATTAAGTTAAACGTTTCTAAATACAATTGATTCAGATAATTCTAGATTCGTATTCTCCTGGCTCCTTTGCTATGATTCTAAAACTTTTGAACTCATCCCCTAGAATAGATTTCATTCAAGAAAAGCTTTGACAAGCTTTGGAAATCGGGTATTCCATGTTAGCAACCTGCACCCTAATCCAAGAACAAAAGCATTCAGACTTTCCACTAATAGCTACTTATTTCGTCGACTTACACGCACACATACACTGTATTCAGAAACAATGCACGTTATGTAAGAACAATTGCGATATTAGCGACAGCATCTCTCAGCTTTTCTACGTAGGTTGCAAAGTCGCGTATGGTCTAAGATATAAGAGATGGAAAACACTTTTCACACTGCAAAGGGTTAACACGTTCCGTGCCACGTGTATCACCGATGGTACACGCTTACATGTTTATTTAATACGCTGAAAAGATGTGTGATGTCAAGTTTAGAAATGATGAATTAATTTCCACCAAAAGAATGAGCCATGTAAGTTCGTTTCATTGCTATATATACAATAATTAAGCCTTTGCATTCGAAGCCATTTTAATTGTAAATCTGAATTAATTTTTCTGCCTTATAGTATTTCCATTTTATATAATAAAGTTCATTTCATGCATATGAAATTGAATCTTGTGACTCATACAACAGTTAGACTTTTAACGATCTTTTATATCTAAGCTTTGATAATGTAAAAATTATCTTGGCACGTGGTGTAATAATTTTAGTGGTGCGTCAGAGTCGCCACTCGAGTGCAAAGAGTTAATAAATACATACAATATATCGATTTCTACAGTATCTCGATTGGCCGGTATGAAAAGTCTAGTGAAAAAAACTTAGCACGGAACGTGTCAAGCAATATAAATTTATGAACAGTTGGCGCAATGAATAACGGAGCAGCTCACCGTACTCGCTGGAGGTGCAGGAAGCGACGCACAGGAAGAAGCAAACCAGGGCGCGAATCCCGGCTACGTAGAAAGGTGAGAACGCAGCGTTACCGATCATTGCTCGTTCGACTTCACAGTATCCTCGAGACTTGTCGTCGAATGATGTCGACACAGCCGGGATCCGGGTGTTTTATAGGGGTTGGTCGCCACCCTCCTAGGGAGGTTGCTTACGCGCGTCATTGTCCACCTCGTTCCGTCCTCCGCCGAGACTATTTTTCTCCCTTTTCTTCCTTTCCATTCATTTGGATCGGTGTTCCGCCACCCGATACGCAAACACCGGGTCGGGGGCCAATCTCGGCTGACTCGCCGAACGATTCGTCTCAATTTCAATGGGGATTCATGGTGCTCCATACCTAATGAGCTAAGGGATGCGCCCCGACGCCGAGAGATCCTGCAACCGCCCCCGTAAACTCTCGGCCTTGCAAACCGGAAGCCTTCCGCCTGACGTCGCGCCTCTATTCTAGCTCGACCCCACGGGATTTCGCGGCGTTTTCATCTTACAAACGTTCCCCCTTCTGCCGAGCTGAATTACCGGCTCGATCGACGTTCCTCGAGCGACGTGAACGCGCACTCTTTGTCTCAAATCGTGTACTTTCGACGGGTACAGTAATTTCTCCCTGATTTCTGACGCCTAGAAAAAGACACGGAAAATCACACGAATTCAAAGCGATACAGTTCTGATGAATTTTGAGATATGTTCTCCTTGGGCTATTTCTACGCAACTTAGCTCGAATGAAAGCTGAAAGCGTCTACTTTAAAATGGGGTAGATTAGATGGAAATTGTATAATAAGTCCGTTCGCGTCGACGTCGTCTCTTTAATTGACGCTCAGATTGCGCACAAAAATGGACAATTCGGGAAGAGGATATACGATTATTCGAGCCTTGCGTCTCGTTTTTATAGTTATTGGCGAATTATTGACTATAAAAACGAGCCGCAAGGCTCGAATAATATCTCCTCTTCCCAAATTGTCCACTTCTGTGCGTAATCTGAGCGCGAATTAGGGAGAAATTATTATATCCCTAATTATGCTGCGATTTTAATGCGCAGAGTGGTTGAATATGTGTATTGGAGATTTAAGTATTGTTAATTTGTTATGATCTTTCTATATATTTCTAATACAACGATGCAGATTTATTGATAAACGAGGTACACACAACGATTTGATCCGACATATGGTTTCGAACTGAGCTCATACGTACGGTCTTACGCGTGGCTAATTACTAGACTGCGGATTTTATGCATTTATAAGGAAAGTGTGTAGCTGAAATATAAAATTGCGAATACATAAAAATAATTTAATAACGTAGTTATACTATTTTCAGTTTATCCAAATGATTGAAAGAAACGATTTATTTTTATTTATAATTTCAGATCCTCAGAATCTTATTGGAAAACCATACATCATCTACTTCCAAAGAAGATGTCGCGATTCGAACAGGGACCAATCATCGATCTATCTATTGCTCTATCTACTGTCTATCATTCTACCATTCTAACACTTCTTTCTGTCATACATTTAATCTTTTGCGCTCGAGTGGCGACTCCGAGGCGCCATTAAGAATTGTTACGTCACGATTAAAAATAATTTTACTGATCAAATTTGTTTATATTCGAAGAAACGTTGATAGCGCAACTGTTGCACGAGCCACAAAATTCAATTTCATATGTTCCAAACGCATTATATTACATAAAATGGAGATACCATGGATCAGAAGAACTATTTTCAATTTTACGTTAATTTGGCCATGGGTGCAGAATGTTAATATACAGACACTATGAACAAACCGTTAAAATGTCTTTTGCTCAAATATGGATTAATAGGATGACGCTTTGTTTCCTTTTATGTTTTTTATAGGCAACAGACAACCAGATTTTGCATCTGAAGATGTCCGTTTTGAGAAACCCGGAAGGAAAATACAGACACGTGTACATAAAATAAATTAATCTGCTTAACCCGAGAAAGATAACCTACGTCGCAGAGGCGCCTGCGAAGACTGTTGATTTTTGTTAATTTTTCATAGAGGTCTAGTGATTTAAGTTTAAAATTACTTAAAATATAAAAAAATATAATATAAATGCATTTTATTTTTACAATAATGCCAAACCTTTAAAATGACTAGATTAACTTAAATAAATATCCATTGTTAGTATAAAATTGACGCCTTAGAAAAGCATGCGCCTCTGAAGCGTATGGTTATCTTTTACGTACGTTGTCATATGGTTATCTTTCTAGGGTTAAACGTGAAAGCTCTAGCAAGCTTCAGATTGTAATTAGAAGACTTTGGATTCGGTTAAACTGAGACGAATGCACGCCCGATGACTTGCAGCGCTCCGTTCAAATTGGAAAGTCAAACTCGGCAATACACCCTCGCGTTTTCCGCCCGGACGCAGCGGGCGTTCCACGGGACAATCTGTTCGCGATTAAGCTTGTCAATTAACCAATTCAATTTCAGGATCAACGAGATCGAAGCGGGAGGGGCAGATCGCTTCGATATAAAAGACCGACTCTGGCCCGCGATCCGCGCATTCGCGGCTAAACTCTCCGACCATGGAATTCGCACGGGATCCAAGATTTATCTAAAGCAACATTTCACTTATCCAATATGCTGCGAATCATAATATTTAAACAGCGAATATGTCGTTCGTGTGTGAGCGACACGGCGATAGAGGAACACAGTTAATATACAGTGTTTGATTGGAGATGAAAATCAGAACGATCATTAAAACTAGACTGCGGAGTTTTGTGTAAAATAAAAATTGCTTAAGTCAATCATAAGAAACGTAAATCAGATGAAAATGTCTCTCCTCTTTTAATAATTATATAATAATATATTATATAATAATAATAATAATAAGTTATATATAATAATAATATAAATAATAATAAGTTGTACATATTATAAAAATATTTTCAAATTGCTCTTCTGCCTTTATAATTTTGTTTTCGGCTTGGTAATTCTTGCCAAAAATGCATAAAATCCGCAGTTTAATTATAACATTAATAATAGAGTAAACATGAAACTTGAATGGATCACGAGAACGTAAAATAAATTAAGAGAGTCCATAAAATCGTGGGGAAGTAATTAAATAGATGCAGATCGGAAGGAAATAAATCGAGAGAATCGTAAAAATAGAATAGAACTCCACTAGATCGAGTGAAGTGAAAATAAATCACGGGAAAGGAATTCGCAAGATCGAGGGAGTTTTCCTCTTCTTTTATTTTACCCTGAGCCCCGGGGAGGTAATCAAGATTGCTCGATTCGCTACGTTCTAAATTCTCGTAGAATCAGCTTCCCTGACCAACTGGCAACGATCACGTGAACAGAGACGTTGATGGTTATAACATCGAAGTTTCGACCACCGAAAGCAACAGAAATAAATTACAGAGGAGTCGACGCACTTCCGAGTTCCGAATATTTGCGAGACATTCAATTTCCACGGGTCGACAGAAGACATAATCTATCCTAGAGGGAAACAGTGTTGTTTACGCACGACGTTGCCGCGAAGCGTAAACCTGGAAGATTTGTGGTGTTGCTGCGAAACCAGTGCATCTCGTGTTTCCAGTATTCGATTGAAATATTATGCTATTCGACGGAAAGATAAAGCGTATCCACAATAATTCGAACAATATCCAGAAACAAAGAAAAGACCGGCGCGCATGATTTCAAGACTCGTTTCTCCGCCGAAAGAACCGAATTTTGGACTCTCACTAATTCTCGAATGACAGAATTTCGGTGCATTTTGATCGAGAGCTAGAAAAGCTTCACGAAAGTTTCGTAAATGCAAGTTTACAAGAACGATCTGTAATCGCTTAACCAATTAGCTGTGGCGCCTCCTTTTCAGCGCGCGCGCCTATCTGTGTCGCGAGAATCAAGCGATGACGAGTATACTCGTCGAACACAGAGTAAGTGCGGCTGTTAAAATATTGGATCAAAGAGACGGTTTTACTTTATAAAATTTACAATTTTACTACCAATATTTACTTATTCGCTTAACATTAACGTATACTGCATACATAATAAGCGAAAAATGCAGGAAAAGTCAAATACTTATAAAAGTTAAAAATTCAAATTGCTGCTGTGGAGTGGTATTCAGCAAAGCAACCGATATCGCGATTCTTTTTTAATCTTATTTTTATAGTGTAAACACCTTCGTGTAGAATTGGCCTCAAAATATTCTAAACATCTTGAAATTTGAGAATATGTTTTTGTTTTCGCTAAAATTACAATCTAAATAGCCAATGGTCACTGCTTTTTACGCGCGACGAGTATACTCGTCATGTCACAAAATACTGCCACTTCTCCATGACGAGTATACTCGTCAACTGGTTAACACTAGATTTAAGAAACCCGTCAAAATGACGAGTCACTAATGTTTTAATTTACGATTATTCCTATCGTATAGATACATTTACGAGTTATTTATTCAATTTACATGTTACTTACGGCAAATGTTACAATAACACTTGTTGAAAATCAGAATAAATGTCTTATTGTTACTTTTATAAACTAATATGAAACAGCTGTTTTTTGTGCTCCGTAAATCTAGTGTTAAAGGATATCGAAATATCGATGCGAGCGAATTGCTCTCTCGAACCCTAAACCCCGAATGCTAAAATTACAATCAAAATAGCCACTAGTCACTACTTTTTACGCGCGACGAGTATACTCGTCATGTCACAAAATACTGCCACTTCTCCGTGACGAGTATACTCGTCAACTGGTTAACACTAGATTTAAGAAACCCGTCAAAATGACGAGTCACTAATGTTTTAATTTACGATTATTCCTATCGTATAGATACATTTACGAGTTATTTATTCAATTTACATGTTACTTACGGCAAATGTTACAATAACACTTGTTGAAAATCAGAATAAATGTCTTATTGTTACTTTTATAAACTAATATGAAACAGCTGTTTTTTGTGCTCCGTAAATCTAGTGTTAAAGGATATCGAAATATCGATGCGAGCGAATTGCTCTCTCGAACCCTAAACCCCGAATGCTAAAATTACAATCAAAATAGCCACTAGTCACTACTTTTTACGCGCGACGAGTATACTCGTCATGTCACAAAATACTGCCA